TATCATCAAAACCTAAGTTAAGTATATAGAATCATCATCTAATGCAATCCTATAACACAACAAGCATGTATACAACATATAGAGAACCTCAAAAACACAAAGGAAATAAACATACAACAACCCCCTACCTCACTAGAGTAACAAGCTCTAGAATCCAAGGAAAATGAACCCAAATCGAAAAACTGAGCAAGGGTGTTCTAGAGAATGAAGAGATAAAGGTTTGATCTTCAAAGTGGAAGACCAAATCTTCAAGGGAAGGGGTTCGAAAATGGGATGTGGAGGCTAGGGTTTCAAGGTCCTACAATGGACGTAAGGTGAGAGTTTGGAGAAGAAATGAAATTCTCTAGATTCTTCACTAACTCACACACTTGATAGTCACAAAAATATCACCAACACTACCTCTTTCACACACAAACTCATCCTAGCCCTCCACTTGTCACAAAGTTAGGCCTCCTCACAAGATTAAATCCTAGGCCTACACCTGTTACCATCCAAAGCTTCCTCACAAGGCTTAATCCAAGTCCTACACTTGTCAATGCCATAAGCCATCAAGTGTTCTAACCAAAGGCCAACAAGTGGATGAAACCTCAACCTCCACATGTCATCATCCAAATCATCCAAGTGTCACCACTACAATGCCTACAAGAGGACCAATGAGAGTGTGACATTTGTCACACTTTTAAAAGGTTACAAAAAGGTCCCTTCTCAAAATATCTCACAAAATAAATTGTAAAATGATCCCTAAGACAAATATCTGGAAAAAAAAAAAAAAAAAAAAAAGAAGATAATTACACAAAGCACCATGTAAAGCAAAACTGTTTTCGAAAAAACTTTATATCTATACCCCTTCGGGAAAAGTAAACAAGTAGTATGTTTTTCTACAAAAGTAAAGTTATGCATTTCATGGAAATCAAATGGAACAAATGCACGTGAAGTCAGAAATCAAATCCGAACACAAAACCGAACTCAAAACCCTACCTCAGGTCTCCAAAACCCTAAGGTTACTCGGAAAAGAAAAATGTCGGAAAAAAAGAAGGAAAGAAGAAGAAATGACCGGGTCATTACACATCCCAACTAGGTTCCTCAACTTCCATCACTTTCCCAATTGTGTTACTAGGATCCTCTCCTCTCTCAGTAATTTCATCAAGCACCTCAAAGGCATTCAGAGAGATAATTCACTCCCGAGCAACATCTTTTCCTTGATCTGTGGGCCTCCTTTTCGATTTAGGTTGGGTAGTAAAACCATCCACAACCTCCACCATATTGACCCTGGACAAAACTTCACAAGATGGCACATAAATTTTTTCAATAAGCTCCCCATCCTGCTACTGTCAACAAAGTTCATTTGGATTTCACATCCCATTTCAAAGTCACCTTAGGTTTAACCACCTGCTTCTATCCTAGGGGACAAAAGTTCTCATTATGGTTAATTCTTTTACAATGTTTACACAACTGAGGTTTCCACTCACACTCAACTCGTACAATGCAGGGAGAACCATGAAGCTTAGTACGAATACTCTCTAAGGAATCCCCCTCCACATCCATTTTAGCCATAACTCGAACAAATAAACCCCTCTCACAAACAAGAGTAAGGTCATCCATGTATAGAGGTTTAGCAATGTTTGAAACCACCTTTGCAATAAGGTTTTACTGCGTTCATGGACTGCAAGGTTATATATCTTCATGCACACTGGGATCCTAGCCAAAATATCACGTTCTAATGGTAAGCTCTTATGCCACTTCTTGACAATCACTTGACGACCCTGAAATATATGCAGCCTGGATAAAACCCAAATCACATCATCTTCATTGGAGAAACAAACTTGGAAAAAAACCATCCTTCAACATTACCACAACCACATCCGATTTCCATTTCTTCTAGACTTATGATTTGAAATGAGGAAAACAGGGTTTGCTCCCCAGGACGTAGCAGACCACAGAATGATCCCAATACTTTAGTTCTTCTTCAATATCCTTGTCTTCGATTTTGACTCCATCCTTTGAACGATTATTGCAAAGAGGTACTGCTCGAAGGAGATGAATCCACCAAGAGTGAACTCCATGTTGGACGTTGGAAGGAGGAAGAGGGTAGGGTTGGATAATGTCCCCCCGACGGGGAGGAGGGTGAACCCTCCTCCATGATGAATCCTTTTTTCCCTTTGAAACACCAACAAACCCTAGGGTTTTGATCGCCCTTGATTGTAATAGCGTGTGATAGTATTGTTAGTATTATCCCCTGAATAATCACACTTTCATCACAGCCTAAAATAACGGACCGGGTCAATTATTAATTCATTTGAGCCAAGAAAATAGTAAGCCCAAAAAATTCTCACCTATAACCCAACTTCATATTGGAGGCCTATGAGATTGGAGATACCACTTTTAATTGTAGAGATTGAGATTTGTTATTTTCACCCCATTTGACTATATATACATGGAGGACATGTATTGTTAGTAAGCCTTGGAGCACTATTTGTGTGTGAAGATAAATAATTTCTCTCTATAATTTAGGGTTTAGCGTTCTCATCTCTAAGGAGCTCCCACAAGTTTAGCCACCAAGGTCATTTATGGAGACATATTAGTGATTTCTAAAGGCAAGACCATCGTCTTGAAGAAGGAGACCTAAAAAATCAAATTCATCAACTTTTTTTTTTGAACGATCTAGCTCAAGAGATCTTTAATAAGTGAGAGCATGCACTCACTTTAGACTTTTAAATTTATGACCAAAAAAAAAAAATGTAGAGAGAGAGAGAGAGAGAAGAGATTTGAGTCTTACTCAAGTCTTTGACGTGAGTATTCTAATTCAATAGATGTTAAACATCATTTTCTCCTTGTTGGCCTCTATGTATGAATCAAGGTCCAAAGATGAAAAGCTCTCAAAAAGATTTTAAAAAACTTCATTTCCCTAATAGAGGGAACATAGATTTATAATGAGAGAGAGAAATTGTTAAGAGGGTTTGTAAAAGAAAGAAATAGCCATGTGACAGGGACGCCCCCTCCTCCTCTTATATTTTGTCTTGTTACTGATTTCCTCACCCAATTATTCAATAATTAATGCAGTTTCTCGATGTACATTGGATTTGTGTGATTCAGTCAGAAAGGTGGGGTCCTCTATATCCCATTGCTTCTCTGCGGATGATCTTTTTATGGTCTAGAAGATTTCAGTTAAGAATGCAAAAAACTTAACATCTTTGTTGGAGGATTTTAGCAAGTATTCAGGGTTGAAGGTGAATTCTGAAAAAAGTATGGTATTTTTCTCAAAGTCTACTCAAAGAAAGAGGAGCATCTTGAGGGTGCTCAAGTTCAAGAGGGAATGTTGCCAGTTACTTATCTGGGGATTCCTCTGGTTGATGGAAGATTGAAGAAATCTCATTGTACTCCTCTCCTTGATAAAGTTAATGCTAAGCTGTCCTCTTGGAGCTCTTTTAAGTTGTCAATGGCAGGAAGGATTGAGCTTATCAAGTCTGTTATTTCCTCATATTACTATTTCTGGGCTGCTGTTTTCTCTATTCCTATTGGAGTTCAAGATGAGTTAGAGAGAGGAAGGGTCGGAATTTTTTTGTAGTCATGAGAAGAAGAGAGCACCACTTTTGGCTTGGACTAAGATCACTGTTCCCAAGAAAGAAGGGGGCCTAGGCAACAGAAACTTCAGCAGTATTATTCTGGAATTTTATTCAATTGAAAGAGGATCTCTGGGTTAAATGGTTCAGAGACAAGTATGTAAAAGATGCATATTTTTGGTCCATGAATTCAGGTATCTAGATTCTAGAAGTCCATCCTAAACAAGAGAGATTTCATGCTTCAACATCTCACTTTCTCAATCGGGAATGGAGCAGAGTTCAGTTTATACTATGATCCATGGTATAATGGGCATATATTGCAGCAACAGTTTGGATTGAGAAGATTATTTCCGGCGGGTTTTAGGCACACGGATCATCTGTCTCTGTTATTTTCTCATACTGGTTGGAAAAATCCCAGATATATGGCCTCCTGAAATTGGCCAGTTCGTTCAACAAAAAGGCTAAGGAAATGAGGATATTATCATTTGGAAACATGGTGCATTTTCATTCAAAGCTGCGTGGGATGTTTGTAGGGAGCGCACTGAGCCTGTCTTATGGAACAATTTGATTTGGAACTAAACCCAGAATTGCTATCCAGTGTACTCTCATTTTACACAATTCTTTTCCCTCAATCCACAATCTTAGGGAGATAGGATTTGTGGGGGCTGCAGTTTGTCAAAATTGTTATAGGGATGCTGACTCTAGGGATCACCTGTTCTGGTGCTGCTCCTTTGCTAGGGCTTCCTCACTTCTCGGATGTTTTGTCATGGTTTATTCAACATTCTCAGGCCATCAGAAGTAAGCTTTTGAGGTGCTGGTTGACTGTGATCTTGTAGAGTATATGGAGTGAGAGGAATAGGAGATGCAATGATGGTGCATCTATATCTCCTCAGAAGTTGGCTATGGATGCATGTTTTGAAGGACTGTTTGCTGTTGGCATTTCTATTTCTGATGCATGGTCTGAAGTTTTGGTGGTTCTTTTTTGTCTTAGTTTTTTGCTCAGTTAATTGGGGTATGTCCTTTGATTCACTGAGGTTATTTGTTTTCTTCACTTCGTTGTGATCCTTTGTTGGTTCACTTCTTATGTACTATATTGTTTCATTTGTTTAATAAAATTCCAACATTCAGGGAAAAAAATATAAAATTAATAAATAAATAAATAAAATAATAAAATAAAAAAAATTGAAGTATTTTGGTACAAATTGGGGTGTCTACCTTATTAATGCACAACCATAAACCAGCCTGATCAACCAAACAGGTTTGGACAACTAAATACAAAAGTTCCTACTCAATAAAAAATACACGCAAGTATAATTAAAATAAAAATGACCATTATATTAAGATTATATTTAATATATTAAATAGTAAGATTTAAATCTTTTAAATTCCTTATTAAAGTTTATCAAAACCCTTACATACTCTCACCGTGAAGGGCATACATTTTAACACAATTCAATCATATTATTTCACTTATAATATTTGTTAGCAATAAATTGAGTAATACAAGTCTACTCATTCTCCCTCAACACAATTCAATCATAATATTTTCACTAATAATTTGTTAGCAATACATTAAGGAATACAAGTCTACTAATTCTTTCCAGCATTTCATGTTTCTTCTTCAATTTCGTGATAAAGCCTTTCACTCACCATATTGTAGCTTTCTTCTTCTTCAATTGTAGCAACTGCGTAAGAGGAACTTTGACACTCCATGTGGTAGCTGTCAAACCTACTCTGATGAATCAATGCTTTCTCTTTCGCACTTCTCAATTCTGCTGCCACTTCTGTCATGCTTGGCCTTTTCTTTGGATTCGTTTTTAGACATCTCATTACAACGTTAGCGACAATATGAATGTCCTCCCCCTCCCCTTGGCCTTCACTGACAACTTGTGTGTCCAGAATGCAAGACAGATTATTCTCTTCTATGGACAATTTTAAACCGTTCGACAAGACAAGACCTTCAGAAGATGCTTTAGAAGAGATGACCTCCCCTCCGGTTAGGTGTTCAGCAAGAACTACTCCAAATGCATAAACATCACTTATCACTTTTATCTGTAAGTTGCATTGTTCGATGGATCCAAATAATCAACTGTTCTGTAGTCAAATGAGTCAAGACTCATTTGACAACAGAGATGCAAGGCACAGTTGATTATTTGGATCCTCACTACTATCAATGCCTTCGGAGTATTTCTTGCTGAACTTGCTGAACTCCTAAAGCATCATCTGAAGGTCTTGTCGAACGTTTTAAATTGTCCATGGAAGAGAATAATCTGTCTTGCATTCTGGACGCACAAGTTGTCAGTACCGAGAGGAGGGGGAGGACATTCATGTTGTTGCTAACCTTGTAATGAGATGCCTAAAAACGAATCCGAAGAAAAGGCCAAGCAAAACAGAAGTGGCAGCAGAATTGAAAAAATTGAGAAGTGCGAAAGAGCACGCATTGATTCAGTAGCTCCGACAGCTACCGCGTGGGGAGTCAAAGTTACCCTTACGCAATTGCTACAATTGAAGAAGAAGAGTTTGGCTTTGGTGGGAAGTGGATTGATCGGGTTAAGGAATGTCTCTCTTCAGCTTAGTTCTCACAAGTTTCCGGTGCCACCATATACCAATAGCAATTGAGACCAGAATACCAATAGCAATTCCAATGCCTTCACGTGCATCCAATTCCATTTCCCTGGATGCTGTAGAAACCAGGTGGGCACATGCATGAGTAGCTACCTCCTGTGTTGTTGCAAAGAGAACCCTTTGGACAAACATTCTTCTTTGGACCTTTGCACTCATCAATATCTTTTGATCTAGAAAACAAAAAGTACATTATATAAGTTTTCAAATTCAAATATTATAGATGATAAATGGTATAACAAAAGGGACTTCTCAAAGACTATTTCTATTTTGTTTGTTACATAAATCAATATGAAAGGAGGGGCACTTTTTATTAGTTTAATTCAATTAAATTTTACGATTTGGACAGAGCATTGAGCAATAGGGGTTGGTTGGACTGTTATCTGAAATCTATCCAAGCGCAGATCAAGGATTTCTCAATGGGGTGGGCTAAATCAAAATATATCAACCAAAATCAACTGTTGTTTAATTCAATTTTAGTTAATTAACAATCTTTCTTTAGACAATTGACTGATTAAGGCATAGAAAATCCTATTTGGGTAATTAAGAAAAAAAAAATTACCAATTTATTTCTGACCAATTCACCACTCAGTATCCCATCTCTTCTTTTGACCAATTTACTAATCCTATTTGAGAATCTACGAGTGGAAGCAGAGTGTGGCAAGCCCCTTCTAACACTATGGAATTCACTCAAAAGCACGCTTTTTGTAAGTATTTTAATTTTCAAGAAGTAACTTTAGAGCTTTACCCTATATTAAGTAATTTAATTGTTTGTTACTTTATATTGTACTTTGTTTCATATACAATTGGGTGCCCATATTAATGGACAGATTTATGCTTTACGTGGTTAACATCCAATTTATTATTAGCATGAAAATATCTGGAATAAAATAGATATATATATATATATATATATATATATATATATATTGATTGAAGAAATGACTTACCTTGAATATCAATTGATTCAATTTGTTGTGCTTTATACTAGAGTCTGAAGTGATAAAAGCACTCTGAGAGATGGTAGGATGCTGTAATTGTAACAATTATAAGGGCCTTCAGCTTGTTCAAGTTCAACCCAAATTTACCAATTAGCCTTTCAAATCCTGCAAAGGGAATCCTGTTTCAGTCATTATCTTCACAAATATTTATATCTAAAATTCATAAAATAAAATAAATAAATAAAATTATATAAAAAATATCTTAAAAAATTTCACCAAATAGGATTTAGTTTGCAAAACAAGAATTACAGACCTTGATTAATTGATTTAGAAAAAAAAAAAAAAAAACATACAAGTTAGCAGTTGCAGAGAGAGAGGGGGGCAAGCTTGAGAGTTGAGAGACGAACGGCGAACCCGAAGTGGAACAGCGGGCGATGGAAACTGAAAGATATGGGTTTTGATTTTTTGAACAATCTGAAATGATATGCGGATATGGGTTTTGATATAGGTATTAGGTTTTGAACTTTTGATTCTTGCAGACAGATAGATAAACTGAAGTATATGGGTTTTGAGAGAGAGAGAGGGGGCGTGGGAGAGATGGAGGCGATTGGGGAGGCTGAAATGATTTGCCCTAAAACCAGATGGAGGCGATTGTGGAGGGTGAAATGATTTGCCCTAAACCCATGTGCTGGGCTTTTGTTTTATTTTTTGAATTGTATGTCATGCTCGGGGGTATATTTGTATAATGTGAGATGGAGAGTGCGTGATAAAAAAATTAAAAAAATAGAAGATGGAGAGTGGCCACTTAATAAAGTCTTGACAGGATTTCTCCATCCATGTGAATGACTTTTTGACTAAAATAACTTTTTGATCTATGTGCTGGAAGAGGGTGAAGAGAGCAGGTAAAAGGGTTGAAATTTAGGTAGATTTTATTTTGTTTTCATGTGTATGTATTTAATTAACAAAGCATCTATTTTAGTTTCTATACAAATAATAATAATAATAATAATATAAAAAAATAAAACCATAGTGATTTAGCTTATCTCGGCTTCTTTCATTTGATTGAGGGTTAACTTTCTGAAAGACGATTTTTTAAAAATTTGAGTCATGATTAAAAAAAAAAAAAGGGGGGGGGAAAAAAGGTGTATGTATCTAAATTAGAGCTCAATGTAGTGTAATATTGTGTCTATATATATATATATATAAATTAGAGCTCAAAGTGTAATATTGTGTCTATATATATATATTAATTTTATTGAGTTTACTAATTAGAACGAGTATAATCTAAATTCCTTAACGGGTATTCATTGGATGGCAAGTCTAAGTGCTAAATTGGTTTAAACATTCTAATTTCTTTAAAATAACAACATATAACTCTGTCGATTAAGGTTAGGAATGCAACACGGACAGAAAGGAAGAGACGATCTATGCACACGGGAAGGCGGAGCAGTTGGCCCAACCTAAAGGCTAATTACAAGTTTTTTTAACTTCAACAATTTTTATATATCTATATATCTATATATATATATATAATGTACTAATAAACATATATTAAAACCCCTGTCCATATATATATATATATATATATATATATATATATATGTATGTAATGTACTAATAAATATATGTTAAAAGCCCCTATCCAACGACTCTCCATCAGAAGAAAAAAAAAAAAAAAAAAAAACAAGGGCAGTTTCCAATAGAAGAGGAGGGAAACCGGTCTTGCATTAACCATCTTTTCTGAACGAAACATAAATCGAAAAAATTTAGCAAGTGGTTTGAGAACATTAGTCCTTTGAAATTAGAGAAATTTTACTTCAAAATCAATGCAACTTTTTGACTAGAAGAGAAAGTGAAGAAGAAAGAAATCAAAGCAACTTTTTGACTAGAAGAGAAAGTGAGGAGATAAGGTAAAAGGGTCGATAATATTTGCTCGAAAATTGGGTTGATTTTATTCTGCTTTAATGTGTTGAATCAAATTAACCAAAGCATCTGATTTCGTTTCTATCAAAAAAAAAAAAATTTTAAAAAATTTAAAATATTTGATTTTGTTGTATCTCAACTTCTTTGTATAGGGAATAATTAAGTTTATGAAAGAGCATTTTTTTTTAATTTTGTGTCCCAAAAAAAAAATTATGCATCTAAATTAAATTTCAACGTATTATAAAATAGACAATACATCTTTATATAGTGAATACTTAAGTTTATGGAAGAGCATTTTTTTTATTTTTGTGTCGGGAAAAAAAAATTATGCATCTAAATTAGATTTCAACGTATTATAAAATGGATAATACTTAGGTCTTCATCAATAAGAAAATATATCATCCTCAATATCAATGTAAATCAATAACAAATGAACATATCTTCCTTCATTAGTACATAAAAAATGATGCAATATTTTAAGTTTGTTGCCATAAATTTTTATAAATTTAAATAGAGTAGTACTTGTATTGTGACAAAAGAATAAAGGAGGAGGAAATAAGTAAGTGATTTCAAAAGAATCTTTTTTTAATAAAGGAGGAAGAAATAATTACATCATTCCAAAATAATAAAGCTAATGGATTAATCATAATTCATCCTTTAAAGCATCTGTTAACAAAGGTTTTCTCAATTGATTTTAATTCTGGTGTCGGACTAGCCCCTATTCAACAAGAAAATATTTAATGTGCTCGGTGTACTTTGTATTGGAACATCACAACTGTCTATATTTGTGTATTGTACATATATATATACACACGTGTACAGTTGTCATGTGTCGATGCACTGTACACACCTACATTAAAAATCTTCCTATCCAACCACTCCTGACACCATCAATACTGCTGGGACCATAACTCAAACTTCAATTGCTAATTTTTCCTTTTCTTTCATCTTTTTATATTTTTGGAATGTTTGGAGGTAACAGGTAACATGCACTAGCATGCACCGTCCAAAAAAAACGGAGAGAAACCCCCCCTGCCTTCGTTGAATAATACCAATACCAAAAGCGACCTGACTTGAATAGTGAAATCTGATGAGTGACTGTCAAATCTTTCTTTATCAATAGAATATCTATAATAATGCTTACTTTTGATTAATAACTTTTTTTTGCTTTAATTTTGACTAAAAACGCTTCAAGAGAATAATAATGCTCTACTTTGGGCTGCTGCCTATTCTAGAGCAAAGAAAATGAATACTGAGAAGTTGCTTAGAATTTTCTTGACAAGTGAATAGAACTTTTAATTTGTTACTATTTATTATTGTTATTGTAATACAATACAAGGTAAACACTTTGTTATATTTCTTTTGTAATCTTTAAGTTGTGACTCATTCAACACAAAGTGTTTTTTTTTATTTTTTTATATCAACTTGCATTGTTGATTTAATTTTTCCTTTGGTTTTTTTTTTTTTTTTTTGGTATGCAAAACGTTCGAAACTTTGCAATGAAAGTTCCAAAATTGTTAAATATTAGTCCAATGAAAATTGATTTTAGATGGTGTTAATCTCAGTATTAGTGCATGTTGTCGCTAAAATAAGCTTGGTGAAAATGGGTTTATTGGCCCTTGGATGCTTATTGAAATTCGGGTTGCAATGTTAGGTATAATTCAATGTCAGACGCTAAGTCACATAAAGAGGGAGCGAAATCGAATTCGAGAACAGAACCGTGAAAGCAGCAGAGTTTAGTCATAAATAGTGATAATTTGAGTCAGAGCGTGCGCGGAGCGTAAGAGCGAAAAAACGCTCGAAACGTGAGAGCGACACCCATTGAGAAGGATTGTGTGATTTAGGTCAGATGAGCACAATTTATGTGTGCGTGTGTGTGTGTATATATATATATATGTAAGATTTGTACGTATCTATATTTGTTTGGTGGAAAAAAAAAAAAATTAATAATATCAATAAAATATATGCAGGCCTGAATTACGGTTCTATATCAAAAATTGGATTTTAGACATAAGTAAGAGTATGTTAGGATTTTGCTGAATCTCATTCGACTAAAAACTAAATTTTAATAAATCTACAAAAAAAAAAAAAAAAAAAATCACATTCCAAATCTCATTCTTCTTCTACTACGATATTAATGTCAATAAAATTACAATTTTATATATTTATTCTAAATTTATAAGTTCATTTATATTCACTATAAAAAATTGTGAATCAAATTAGTTTATGGATTGTCTTTAAACTGATTTTATTTAATTTAGTTATACTTTAATTGAAAATATGTTTGGTAAAATCAAAATTCATTTTCATTTAGTTTTTCACACTTTCTTAAATATTTATATTGAAGGAACATGATACTTGCAGCGAATACTTAGGCCAAAAACTCATGTCGATGGTAACGCATCACTATAGCTTTACTACACTTAGAAAGAAAAAATTTCAAAAGCAAAACTATCCTTACAGAATCCCAATTAGCAAAGATTCTCAATTACTAGTAATATTTCTCATCATCCATCTCTATCCCATAGTGAAACCATTCTTTATTTTCTTCTCTCACCCTTTTCTTCATTTCCATCATTGATTTCCGATCATAACCAGGATATACAAATATATCACTTTACAGTACTTGGTGAGGAAGGTTTCCTTCCCCGTTATCTTCGGCGTCACCACCGTTGTCGTCGCCATCAAGTCGCCCTGAGAGACCAATCGTCCCTCTTCCATGGTACCCATTCAGTCTGTTGTTGGTTTTGTGCAGAGGAGTGTTTATCATACCCAACAGCTCTGCATACAGACACGCACCACTTTTTTTTTTTTTTTTTTTTTTTGGAGTTATGATGAAAATTTTAAAAACTTGTTATGTATTTATTATTATTATTTTTTTATGTTTAGAGAAATTTTGCATATTCTTATACATCTATATATATATATATAGAAAGGAGAGTGAGAGTGTTTTGATAAAATTTAAAAAATAAATTTATGGGGATTGAACTATCGTATGCTTCTGAATCTATATATATATTCTGATGATTTCTTTTTAGAAATTTATGTATTATTATACATCTATCTAGAGAAAGATAGTATTCTGATAAAATTTAAAAAAGGAATTTAACGGATTTTTAATTATAGTTGTTTTTGAAACGATGATCTCAGTTAAGTGACCCTAAAATAGGGAGGATGAATACAAGAAGACAATATAAGGGTAATTTTGTCTTTGAAAATTCATATTATTTTAATGGATATGCTAGTGGGACCATTTGATTGTCGTATTAATTTGTCTTTTTGTGCCACGTAGATTCTGCCTAATAAATTGGTTTAATTTTTCTGTCTGAGTATCACGATTATATATATATATAATAAAAGAAGTTCTTTAAGTCTATAAGTAGTTTAAGGAGCATAATTTCACCATATAACAATAATTACCTGAGGTCGGTTAATCCACACCAATTTATCTTGTTCCAAAAAACCATTTCACAATGGTCCAAAACTGTTACAGTACTAATAGCCTGAAGGATAATAACCCATTTCTGAAAAGATCCAATTCCAGATTAGTCCAACCCATTTCCAAATTAATTCAAATCTTACCAATAACCAATTTTTAAATCGTTCTAATCCGTATTAGATCAATTTCTAAATAGGTGTTTCTTTTAATTAAAGCAGTGGTATCATAACAAACCCAATTCACATGATGATGATCAAGCGGTTTCATTTATGGCAAACAAAGAGCAAATGGCTAATTGTTTATGTTAAGATATTAGTTAATGATACATTGGATTAACCAGAAAATCAGATCAAAGGGAAATCCGGATAGGTTTGTTGAGAGAATCTCAGATAGGT